GAAGCTTCGAAGATGCTTGTAACATTTGGGGGTCTGCGACGATGCGGAAATGATCCAAGAGTTTATGCCCTATCTCAACTTTGAAGTAGTTGATCAAGAGCTCTAGTAATCTTGCAAGCCCCTCCAAGCCAGAGACCGACAGACGCTTTGGATCTGCAAGGTTCATCAAGATAGGGCGCAGGCCTGTCTGCAAGAGCTCTTTGGGGAGTCGACTTTGATGTGTTAGGACCATACGAAGCCCTTCGTGCGCAACTTCTTTTACCTCCTGCGAAGGGGAATACAAAGACTTGAAATAGACGCCAGTGACCCTGTATCATACTATGTCAATGACGTTGGAGAAAATGGGAACCACGACTGACCTTTGTCTAGTTTGATGCTGCTTTGAAAAGAAATCCGTCATAGGCATGGATGCAGTAAGGAGCTTGATGCAAGCTACCCTAAGCTTGATAATCTCGAGAGATCCTTGGCGAAGATTTCCACGAGCAAGCTGGACGTCATCGGCATCGGCGAGTCCGAGAGTTTCATGTAACAATCGGAGCAATTCGTCGTTCAGCTCCGGAAGAGGTGGATCGAGACTGACACAATAGCGTACTGCATCAATCATGCCCACTTGAATGGGAAACGATAACGCCCTCAAAGGTTTGGTGTAAATTGCTGTCAACATGCGATCCCGGTGGGGCAAGAGGAGCTCGTGAGCTGACTTGCCAGTGAGTTCAACGAAGACATCGATGCAGATTTGGGCTGCTTGGCGAACTACTGGGTTGGGATTTGAGAGCTCCGAGAAGAAGATACCGATGATGTGGACTAGCTTGGCACGAGCGATGATGGGGACGTCCGCCATAGCATCCAAATTCGTGTAGGTAACGCGTAATACACGTTTAAGGACCTCGATCACGTCAGTGACATCGCGGGGAAGATCAAAGGGGAGATCCTTCAGGATATGGAGCAAGGTTCGCACAAGTTCAACTTCACTCATCCATTTAATACCGATATTAGGCAGAAACGTCAAAATCCTGATTCCAATGCAACCTGCGCTCTTCCGTACCCATGAATCGTCAAGGCAGACGGCACAGAAGCGCGCAGAGATTTGGACCAGCGTAGGAACAACATCCTGTGCAGTAGCACCGTTCTGAGCGCACATGACCACCAGGTCATTCAAGATTGACGTGACAAGTTCTTCGCCCTTGTGTAATTCTTCAGTGTTATCACGTGAAAGAGCGCAAGGTAAGGCCTCCAAGTAAGACGAAAGCAGAGGGCTGGGATATCGCTTGAGGCCAGCTTCCTTAGTAGCGTTCTTGCGAAGCTCCATTGAAAATACAGTGCGAGACAGCTCACGAATGAACTTGTCTGCATCGTCTTTCACTTCGGGCATGTGTATCGCGTCAAATATCGCTTCCAATGATTTTACGAACACCGCAGATTCATCCGGCCCATGGCTGTTCTATGGTACATCATCGAAAGTTAGTGAAGTACGACACTATCCAAGCTTGCTTACATCATGCAGAAGAGTGATAGTACACGTCTCCAATAGCGAGTATGTTTGGGCACGATAGGCAGGTGCGGCCTTGCGTAGGGTTCGGACTGCTAAGTTGATCATCGGAGCCAGCTTCACGTTTTCCATCGAGCCACCGAAAGAAAGAGGAACGCTTGCGGCCTTCGAGAATGGGTTGTATTCAAGGGCAGGCTCTTTATACAACAAACGGCGATTGCGTCCACCGAGCTTGCCAAGAATACGAATGGTCGTGTGGGCATGGTGGTGACTGGCAGGTAGTGGCTTCAAGTGACTATGAAGCGCTTCCATGAGTTCTCGAAGAACGGTGTTCAGAGTCGGATCAAGGAAATCCGGTGTCAGGTTGTCGATACAAAGCTCAAGGGTACGAAGACCTTGAGACACGAGCTCAGGGGTCCCACGTAACGCAAGTGCAAGGGGGCGCATAAGATATGTGAGATGGGGTAGGAGATGTGTGAGACGCAATGGCACCGTAAGGCAAAGCTCAACGATCATGTCCCTCGCATACCCTTCGGAGGCATGCAACTGGCGGTTTAAGCTCTCCAACATATCGGGAAGGAGTGGTAGAACCTCTTTGTAGAGAAGCTCGTAGCGACCCCCTCCTCCGCCAATTGCGCGAAACAAGCCTCTTAGAAGATGGTAGTAGTTGGTTGACTTGGAGGCTTTGGCAGCGAGAGGGAAACAATCCATGATGAGTTTAGCTAAGTGCGCAGCCAGAATGGGTTCATTGGGCACAGGAAAAGACGTGACTGCACCAAATGCCATTTTGAACAGCCGAATGGTAATAACTGCTGTTTGATCGTCGTATTCCCCAAGAAGTGACAGGCGGTCAATGAGGAAACGAAGGACGATTGCTACCAGAGTTGGCGAGACGTTTTCACGACTGAACAAAATTTGGCAAATTTGTAAGAGTGCAGGCCTCTTGCGAGCTGCTTCAAAAAAGAACTCAATCTTGTGGGTCCAAACCTCTTGGAATACGTGCAGATTGACCTCCAGCAGAACTGCGCTAAACCAGTCCATGGCTTCGGTAGCGTCGCGTGGCTCGGTATCAAATAGGGCCATACATTTCATGCAACTTTCAAAGAGACGGAGAATCAGAGTGCCTTCGGGAACTGGAGCATCACATTTTTTCAATCCCACGAGGCAAACACGGAACCCATGGAGGAGGGTTCGAAAGAGAAAGCGACATTCTATGACCAAGGGTGTCAAAGGGTAATTCGCGCACATCGAAAGTCTTCTCACCATGAATAACCTCTTCTGGCTTCTCAGTTGCATAGGCAGCACCTGCAACAGGTCGCGTCTTCTCTATCAGCAAAAAGTCGACGCCTTCTTCTTCGTCATTCTTAGCCTTCTCTAACCTCTCAAGTGCGTTGTCCAAGACCAGTGTCATCGCCTCGACTTTGTCGACACAAGTCTCGAACATGGCAGTCAGTACCCGTGCGGCACCTTGAGCGGTATCCTTGGTTGTAATATTCTCGATCAGACCGAACATCATCTTGGAGAACAGCGTATGCAGGTTATGACTGAGGTACGGATTATGAATCAACGCAGAATACAGCTTCGCCACACGCGCGAGCTGATTTGCCGAGAGGTCGCCCCGGACGTGATGCACAAGGTCCGCGACCGATGCGTAAACCGACGGACTGAATCATGATCATCAACTATAATTCCTCATTGGCCGATCAACTGAACTCACCGCAAGGTCTCTTTACTACCCACTCCATCTCCAAGAAGAATACGTTCATCAAATAGTTTGTCGATCTGTGGTAAAAGAGCCTTCCGATGCTGCGTGCCAATCAGATGCCGTAGTACCACTATCAGATCCTAGAAGATGTATTAGGTCTAGTTGCGTTTTTGATACATGCAACTCGCCTTTCGTGCCTGAATGCCGTTGGGAGGCAAATCTTGCATTAATCGGAGAGCAGCAAGAATGAGCCTCTCTCCAAAGGAGTCGAACTGTTCTCCGAAGCCTCGCATGACATATGCAACATAAGATACCATCTACGCAGTGAGTATTCTTGATTGTCGAGATTGTTACAGGGATGCATACCTTGATTTGCCCAGTGATGAAATCCATATAGGCTTGAGGATTCTTTATGGTGGGTGCCATGCCGGACCAGTAAGATCCCATGGCTTCATGATCTTCTCTAGCTTTTTTCTGAGCGGGTGATTCGAGACCCAGAACCTCGAAATTCAGACAGAGTGTTGCTTGAATAACGTGAAGGACAAGGGGGCGATGGCTTTGAGAAAAGGTGACAACTACCATTCCCATCTCGGCGAGGACTTTGAAACTGCGAATGCTGGGAAGGACGACATTGGGATCAAGAACAGGGGAGTCCTCGCAGAGTGTTTCGAGGACAAGTCCCCTCATGTTGCGAAATACGTCTTGAAGAATTCCCATGTACTCGGCAACCAGCTCTTCTGTCAGCGATCGAAATGAGCGTAGAAGGTCGATAATAATTTTGCATGCAGTGACGCCGTTTTCCTCATTATCATGGCGCAAGGCATGAAGCATACCACTAAGCAATGGCAGAGCCAGAGGCCGTATAGTTTCCCCGTAGGGTATGCGATGTATGATTTCAAGCAGCACGCGCCTGAATTGGTACTCCATGATGTCTTTGTGATATGCAGCTTCCCCAGTGTTCAGAATTTCCAAGAGAACTGGAATCATTTGAGGGAATACTCGCGCAGATTCAGCATCTCGGACAGTGTCTATCATTTCTCGTAGCTCGCATGCAACATTGTGCTTCGTTTTGAGATCTATGACCAGTGTGTTCAACAGCGGAGAGCTATATTTGATCGGAGAACACATACCTATTCCAGGGTCCGCAATGCGAGCAGCCCGCATCTCAAGGTCTGCAGCTGTACCCAGCTGCGGTGTGTTGTCCATGGCGAACAGCAGGAAGAGGCCCTAAGTTACTTCCAGCTATTTGGTAATCTCAAGTTTGACCCAGAAAATATGTTTGGCTCAATGTTTGGTCAACATTCACGTGATTTTCACGTGATGTAGCTTTACTGACTTTATTAACCCCTCATTCGGGGGTGGCCTAATACTTTACAACAGTTTGCATAATGGTAGAGGCCGGTGGTATTTCCAAAAAAAGTGTGCATTTATTTTCGAAAAAGTAGTGCTACAAAGATTGATTTTTATCTCAACAACGAAGCAAGCTATTGACATGGTCTAAGTGACAAAACTGATCAGAAAAATTGAACGCAGACGACCAGTGAAAAAACTAAGTGATTCGGTGAAGTTGGTGGTCACCTGCTCTCAGAGCCAGTAGAACTACAAAGATTGATTTTTATTTCAGTAACAAAGCAAGATAATGACAAGCGGTAAGATACAAACTTGATCAGAAAAATGAGGTGCAGAAGACTGTAGAAAGGATGGAATGATTTGGCGAAGTGGACACTTGCCTCGTGTCTACTAGTATAAAAACCAAATTCACACACATCTCACTTTTCCCGATGGTCTGCTACATTGTCTGGCAGGATGGCAAAGGCTTCTACCCAAGTGCGCAAGGTCAAGGAGCCCCGGAAATGCGGTCGTCCTCCGAAAAAGCAATTACAGCCCCCCAGTAGTACACAGGCAGAACATCCTCCAAGTCAGGAAGTCGGCTCAAAGACTAAACCACGGCCATGGCCCATTCCACCAGAAAAGTCTAGCACTTTGTTGGCAGCCACAGTGCCAGGTGGATCCAGCTCTGCACCAGACATCAGAGCAGCTGTAGCGACATCAAAGTCCACTGACTTTGATGAGAACACAGCCGCCACATTGTTACTTGGCTTAGCTTGGCCAGTTGGAGACTTGGAGGTCCCAGATCTGGTTGGGAAATACAGTATCAAGGATGAAGACTTCTTCCAGAACCTCAAAGAATCTGAGGCCAGTGGCTTGGATGATGAGCATAGCCAATCGGGAGATGAGGAGGGTGAGTAATTAAGACCGTCACTGCTCTTGCAAAAGAAACTTACCTCGTCTGTGATGTAGAATCTGAATCAGAGGACAGCGTTGAAGATAACGAGGAACCTGAAACTGATGAAGAGGTAATTGACATACCTCTCAATGTGCTGGTCAACGGTGTCCTTGACACTTTGACTGTGAGGTCCGATATATCCTGGGATGCCTTCCATCGCAAGATTGCAAAGGCTATGGAGATCTTCCTAGAGAACCTCAGTATTGCCTACAAGTTTTCGACTAATGCGAAGACAGCTTCCCCGCATAAACTCGACTTGGCTCGCAACCTGCTCCAGTTGCTTGGAGATGCAAGTGAAGAACTCAGCGGTGTGACTGGAAGGTCACGGAAGAAGAAGTTTGCGGTAGAGATTGTTGATATACGGTTGCTAGAAGTAAGCAATGGTGAATTGAAGAAGGGGACATTGACCAGCAGTAAGACAAAGGTAAGCACGAATAAGGAATGCAGAACACAAAATAACCCACCAATTCACTCAGGCTCGAGCAAACAAGAGGGGAAAGGCAGATGATGAGGACAGTGATGGTGGTGGGAAACCTGCTGATGCTGTTACAGTCTACCATAACATCTACAGAAGCCCCCGCTCTGCTAGACTCCCAACGCAGCGGCACACCGCTAGAACTTAGAACAACAGCGGTCTGGACTGCTGTGACACCGCCCCTGGCCTAGAAGGCCTTGTACCTGATCCATGGAGGCTGTATGCCTCATGGACACCTAGACTGGCGCATGTACGCCTCATGTCGCCTCATGAAGATCCGGAGCGCCCTTGGTGCCTCATGACTGATCAGAGGTTAAGCCTCATGTATCTTATCTGTCCTCATGGTTGACCTCATGTTCTCTTATCTCATGAATACCATAGATCCTGTTACAGGGATCTGTAACACCTACTAGAGCCCCAGCTCTCCCTACACCTGCCCCCGCTCTGCTAGACTCCCCGCGCGGCGGTGCGCCGCCTGCGCCTAGAACAACAGCGGTCTGGACCGCTATGACCCCGCCTCAAGGCGCTATGACCCCGCCTGATGCTATGACCCCGCCCCTGGCCTAGACGGCCTTGTACCTGGTCCATGGAGGCAGTACGCCTCATGGACACCCTAGATCAGCGCATGTATACAGCATGTCGCTTCATGAAGACCCGGAGCGCCCTAGGCGCCTCATGTATGAAGACCCGGAGCGCTTGGCGCTTCCTGTACCTATGCGCAGCAGCCCTTGGCGCCGCATGCTTGATCAGAGGCTAAGCCTCATGTACTTTATCTAACCTCATGTCTAGCTATCTTAGATTAGCGATATACTATAGATTATAGACTGAGCTTGAACACTTAGATACACTATGTATAAAGTACATACATTGTTGTAGATTATACTTCACTTTAATCTACTAGGTTCTACCACAGAACTTGCTCATCTTAGCTTAACCGCTTCCTTGTGTGAGACCGCACTTCAGAGTCGCTCCCATACGCCTCTGCACGTATCCGCTAGCCCTGCATCTCGACGAGCGCCGTCTTACCGAGATCGCCGGAGGAATCCTTGACGTTCCATCAAGGCTAGACCACGCTCAGCTTCAGTAGACTCACTCGAGTCGTCGCTGAGAAGACCTATCCTAGTTCGCACACGCCGACCTACAGTCGACGTAACAGATCCCAGATATACTATTAGATACAGACTGAGCTTGAACCCTTGTATATTGACATATATAAGTAGACAGATTATTGTACTAGTTCTTTACTTTAATCTACTTGGTTTTCCCTTGAAATCTGTTCAACTAAGCCTTCAAGCTTAGTTGTCTTTGACCGCACTTCTAAGCCAAGCACCCCTTGTCTTAGTCAATCTATTAGCCCTGTATCTCAATGAGCGCCATCTTACTGAGATAACCAGAGGAACCCTTGACATTCCGTCAAGGCTACAATACCCTCAACCTCAGAGGGCACATTTGTGCTGTTGTTGAGAAGACCTATCCAAGTCTGTAACAGATGCTGTCAACTGGGATGATGACACTGATGTCGCAAAACTCCCCCCACCAAAGATTGTTGTTGGATTGCAAATGAAATATGCCTGCGCACAACACCAAGGATGTTGTTTTGTTATGAAAAATGGTGACCATCATAAAATTCCATTGTCCGACATAAGCCACTGGGCATTCATGATTGTATGGGTACTTCGCTGATTCTCTAAGTGATCGTGCTAATGGGACTATTACACAACAAATTTCCTAATGTATACAACTTGCAAAAATCCCCCCCCTGTTCTCAAGATCGAGGATCATGATGCACAGAGAAAACAGGCAGACCCTGTGTCTGTAGTTAAACAACTTGAAACTGCTTTGTCAAGTCCTGCCAATGGCATTCAACCAGTACCAGAGCATGCACATCAGGGACTGGTGTAGGACTTGGAGTCCTTGTAGCCTCGTAGAGGCTATTTTTGTGGTATCCCTCAGCACCCTATTACTTTCCTACATGAAGCACAGCTCTCCCATGAGCCGCGCATAGCGGCCGCAACTTTCCCGCAATGTTCCTGCGTGCATGCACAGCCGCACTTAGCGGCCGCTTTTCTCACGCTTCATCGGCCGATGTTCCACACCCATCCATAGTCCAAAACCAACCCAATGGTACGTTATTTCATGATTATATTTACATATCAGACCATTTTCGCATCGGACCACCTTTATTTCATCATAGACCCTTATTTACATATAGCTTTACATACCTAACTCAGTAGCGCATCGGCTCGGTTCTGCGTGACAGCACTTAGCACTATACTTAAGCACTAGCAGTACATATCTTTCAGTAGCTTGTTTTCCGGATGTCCCAGTAGCAAACTCCCATTAGCTTACAGTTGGTAGCTATTGGCAATCAGTATCCGTTTACCGCTTGCATCGTATCCATCATTGCCTCGCTCTACATCTATTTCTATTGTCCTTCATCTCTATTACCATCTGAACCTCTCACGCATTGGCCGCTTCGCAGCCGCGTCTTTCCCACGCCTTCGGCTTTCGCCCGCCACTACGTTCCCGCGCTACGCGCGCGCACCCGCCTATTTCTCGCGCTTTGCATCGGCTGACAAGCGGCACCTTCTGCATCTATTTCTAGACCTTTGCTGCACTAGCTTCCCCTTTAGGGTTGAATGCACTTGTCCCACAAGTATAGCAGATAGGCAGTGAATGACCTACAACATAAAGATATCAGTTTGGAGCCTTTAGCACCACTCTGAGTTGTAAACCTACACCGGCAAACATACTTATGCAGCCACCTGCTTATCATCATGCTCCTCACCTGTTCAGCATTCCTCAGCTGATTGCGCCTCATCCATTCTACAATTATCTGCTGCCTGTTCCTGCTGGTCAGCTCTACTATCCACCACAATCATTCAATCCATATCCAAACCAGAACCACAATCATTACACATTTGCATGCCAACACCATTTACCAGGTCCTAACTATCATACTCACGATCAAGATCATCATTTCCATCGACGTCCTTCACCAGATCTCAATTCAGACATTGCTCAAGCTATTGATGCCGACAATCCTGCACTCTATCCACTCATACCTGACTGGCTCTGGGAACTGGATAAAGGGCCACAGGGCGACAACCGTGCTTTCGCAAGAGATAGCATTATCGACTATTTTCATGGCTTTGGGTATAAGCGCATGTTCAAGAGCATTGACCCGATGCTCACCATCGCAGACAAGATTTTGGAATGGTGTCCTGACGTCTCTGTCGGCACTGCAAAGCTTCTTGAGACATATGCAAGAAAGGATTGTGAGGTGTTAAAGGCAGAACAGATGCAGCACCTTAGGCACAAGCGCAGATGGTCATATTACTAGTACTGACTTTTCATTGACATATACTTAGAGCATTTCTATTCCATCACCTGTAATTATAAGTATTGACATTTATGAAACCATCCTGCTACATCATTCAGTGTCACAGTAAATATCGCATCATTCAATACAGCAAAAACATCAGCGTCATCACGGCCCTCTGTTGCCATTTGAAGTCTCAGCTTATCACGACGAAGGTGGTGTTTCATGGCTGAAAATGCCAGTTCAATGGGGTTATAGTCCAGAGAATATGGCAGCAAGAATTCAAATCGCATTCCCCTGCAAAGACACTGGCGGTTAGATGGAACAATGCCTGAATGATTGAGTTACTTTACTGTTCGAGTATCATTTCCTGTACAAGTACAGATTTGTGGATGCTACAGTTGTCCATGACTATGACTGAGTTCAGACCAGGGAATGGATTTATCTAATTGAGTAATGCATCTATGAATAGGGAAAATCTTCTCTTGGTAGAAGAGCCCTCAATGATGTCCACGAGCAGGATTCCTGATAAGCTAAGGGCTGGGAGCACCGAGTATCTATCAGTTCTCGGAAATCAGTACACTTCTACTTCAAGTGATCATTGACTGGTCATACCATCGGCCACGAACAAAAAAAACCTTTTGTAATGCCTGTCTATTCGTTCATGAGTACAGTCGTAGACAAACAAAGTCATCTAGTTTGGTATCTCGACAATATGAATTTTTGGGGCCAAACTAACTTCAGATTTGGATTCAGGACATCAAAATAGGTCTAAAAACGACTCTTTCGAAGTTTTCCCACGACATTTTGAGTGTGCCAAAATTTTTTGGTCATTTGAACAACTTTTCTAGAGGCTAATACCTACAACGAGACCACCTCAATTGCCATCATCACACGCTGAGTGACTTGATCATGTCATTCTGTTTACAGACAGCCCATTCTGCTGCTTTTCTGGTTAATCCAATCCTAGTATATGCACTCATAAAATGATATGTCTGATTGATGAACTGCTGGATCACCTGGACTGGACATGAATCTAAGATTTCCTGCGCCACTCATTTTGCAGCTGCAAAATTTGGCTTCGACATTTGACAATAACGATACTTGCACCAACCCCAGTACTGACTTGACAATTAAACACTTTCTAATGTCTAGAAAGTGACCTACACACTATCTCAATTGGATTGAGCTTGTAGTGAAACTTTGGTAGAAAGATACACTCATGCCCTACATAGTACACTACTACACTACTAGGTTCTGTCACTGAAACATGGCAGGAAGGTGCTTGATTCCGAAGTCGGTATTTTCTTGCAGGTTTCCTTGGAGACGAGCCATGACAGTTGGGATGAGAGGTACAAAAGATTTTTTTTGGCACCATTTCATTCCACTCATATAACTTTCTGAGCATAGCTTCAACATTAACTCAATGAAAGGAGTCATTTCCAATTTTTTCGTGATTTTTAGCAATTTTTTTTGGGGGTGTGCCAAATTTTCGCCCTTGAAAAGTCAAATTTACTGTTATGAAAAATTGGCTCATACCATCATGTTCTAAATGTTGTTTAGAGTACTATTATACTATTTTTGACATTTCCTGTTAGATTGGTGAGGCTATAAAATTCAGTCACCAAACTAGATGACTTTGTTTGTCCACAACTGTAGCCATAACCATGACGACCAGTATGATGATCTATGGAGCTCTTGTCAACAAAAATAAGTTGGTCGGGTCTATACTTGAGGCCAATCTGATACATGTACTCAGCACATTTATCAATGTTCTGCTCTCTCACTTCTTGAGTTATCTATTGCACACATCAATCAAACATTGTTGTCAATGAGAATCAAGACACTAACTGTTATGCACTCAAATAGGTCTGTTATGTGGAGCCCTAAGAGGGGCGTCGTCAGCTTAACGTTCGTGACGTAACCGGAAGGATCTGGTATAACGAGTGAGACTGGCGACATTGAGTCGGCAGCGATCACAGACGTGTATGTCACATGACTTCTAAGATGGATGTCTGTGAAGTCACCAGGTTCAAAGTAAGGACAGTCTTGTCCGAATGATGAGTGTCAATTGAGGTAGACTTAGTTGTGAAGAGCAGCTAAGAAAAGATACTAGAGACTGAAGCTGAGAGGCTTCAGAGAGAAGTATGTTCCAGGGAAGATTGAGTAGATTCAAGTTAGAGAATCTAGTACAGAGTGACCAACTACTTATACTAAGTGGAGGGGGTTAAGGGCAGGATTACTGCACTGTAGGTAAGGGTGAAGGGGAAACGGGAATGGTATAGGTGCATTGGCAACACAGCCAGATTAGTGATGGGGTGGTCGAATGTGGAATGAGACCGAGAAACATTGGAACGATCTAACAGTAAGAATACAACGTGCGGGAAGCGCAATCAGAAGAGAACAAGAAAGGAGAGCCACATTGGTGGCATGAGTCAGACCAAGTCAGAGGTGTGGGACCACATTGGTGGTCGAATCATAAGAGGAACGTGCATGCACGTGCAAGGAGGCGGGTGATGCAAGGGACAGGAACAGTCCTGAGGATCCAATCAACAGATAGTCGGTATAGGAGGACAATGTAGGGATTCATTTCTGGCTAGGCTTGGAGAGACTGTCTTTACCTTACCTTATGTTGGCACTTTGTAGCTTACATAATCAAGTTATCTTTTCACCAGTTACCAGTATGAGTGAGTCAGAGTACTCAGCAAGTTTCTATCATATTTCCTCTTCTCTGAGCCTTGAGTCTGGTCCAGAAACCCTTTAGGGTCGCATAGCAGCTAGGTTCTGCAAGACCCAACATTGTTCAGACTCACCATCTGAATTGTTGTACTTTCAACGAGCCAGTAGATGGTGAGGGTGAGGACGAAGGGAAAATGATAGGGGGGCCACGTGACCGATGTTACTTGTAACACTAACTTTCTTCCTTGAATAGCCTGTGTGATGAAGTGTTCGCCAGATTGTGGACAATGACAGGTGTTTCCCACGAGCCTGGCTAATCTCATCACGGAGCTCGTCTAGATACATATCACAGCTGCAGGACAAATGGCCATGCATGTACTTTTGTTATGTCAGAATTTGTGTGAAAAGAGATTGAATATGTACGCACCTCAATATCTTCCAAGTCCATCATTTGAGTTCTACCACTATTACCACTCTGGCTTTCTTTATACGGCTTCCCAGTCAACCTATAGCATTGCGCAATCCTTTCTATTGTCGATTTGCTTGCACCGGTGTATGCCATAATTTCAGATGTGTCAAGGAGTGGTAGCATTCGGATGACAATTTTGCATAGTTCTTGCGACAATTTGTGACCTTTCATAGTGGGGTAAGGGAGACATTTGACTGGAGAAAAAAGTGTTGTTGTAGACTGTTGGCTCTGAGAGCAGGTGACCACCAACTTCACCAAATCACTTAGTTTTTTCACTGGTCATCTGTGTTTGATTTTTCTGATCAGTTTTGTCACTTGGACCATGTCAATAGCTTGCTTCATTGTTGAGATAAAAATCAATCTTTGTAGCACTACTTTTTCGAAAATAAATGCACACTTTTTTTGGAAATACCGCTGGCCTCTAGCATTATGCAAACTGCTGTAATATTATTTGGTCAGGTTATCATCAGATAACCTTATGCAGCGCATTCTAGATTGGTGATTGGAAACCGCTCATATTAACAAACAAATTGCCAATGCTATTCCCTCAAGTGATCATCATGCTTCAAATGTAACTCAATCTTGATTGTAGCACTGAAATAAACCCATTGCTCAGAGCCAAGCTGGCTTAATAGACTCCGAGTCATCATTACCCCAAGTAAGTACTACTGCCTGCCAACTTGACAACAACACTAGCCACCAGACCACAACTACTAGTAGTACTTGCCACTAAATGCAGTCCCTTTAGTTTGTGGTCATCAAGGCTCGTTCTGTCATGTTGAGGTCAGGTAGCTCTGATATGCCAATGTTATGGACAGGTACTAGTGCCACTGTGGACGGTGACCACTATCATAGTGATGGCCTATTGATATATCTCAATTAGGCTGTGCAGGTTAAGTTAAATATAAATTGAAATCATCCAAACAATTTTCAGACTGACAGAAACTTATCTGTTACTCCCTAACATTCCCTTGCTGTGCAGTGTATGATTGTACTAGAGGCTGGTCCTCAAAATGTTCTTCTTATCTTCTGAGCTGGTCTCATCCATCTTTTTTTTGCAAGCACTACCACTGTCCAGGATGCTGGCCTACAACACATTTTGAAGTACTCTTGTGGTATGTAATGCAAAAACACTATCTGTCAGTGAATTTTTGGAACACCCCAACTAGTGAGTTGATTGTGTTTCTAGTGTATTGACTAATTCTGCACCTCAGTCGTCAGATTACATCTTTCTTTTTAGGTTGGGTTTTTATTTGTAGCCTACTATGCATTGTGACCTCACCAGTGACATGTCACCTATATCGAATGTGCTACAAGGCCTCTGATGAGTGAAGGGGTCTGCAGCTAGATGCTGACTTTTGCAATGGACATGACACTCTTTGGAGCAATTCAGAGAAGCCTCCCATGGACACACTTTTCTGGGATGATCAAAATTCCAGCATTGAAGAAAACTCTGCTCTTGTCTTATTACTTTCTTTCTGTTTCGCTTTTGCAAGTGTGGCCCACTTTTCATCCTTGTTGTCATTTGATTCCAATAGTGGAGCTTCTACTTGTGGTGAGTCACAAAGCTATCATTATAGCAATGCATATCTCATTTTGCAGCATTTATTATTGCACTGGAAGGCATTTCTACCGCTTGTGCTCATTCCATGGGTTTGATTATTCTAAATATTGATCTACAAAAATTCAAGCTATAGCAGTAGGAAATATATTTAGCTTAGTTTTGGCTTTTCATTTCTGGAGGTGAGTAGTGCATCCTAGTCTAACATGCGGGCTTGACCAACACGTGTAAGGTTTTGTGGTTGCAACATGTGCTATAAGCGCAGGAACAGTTGTGTATGTAGTCTTGTTCTTGTTTGGAATTGAACTCATCATAGCTGCAGATATGTGCTACAGCTCAACATGTACTTGTGCTACAGGACAAGGTCAGTGATAGGTGCTGCTCATGCATCAGTAAACTAATATGTGCTGTACAGAACTGTACAGCACTGGACAGCACCCAAGGGTGACAGCTTGGTCCCTCTGTGACAGTGACTCACAGATGCACCTGTTCTGTGCCACACTACACAGAATCTCACAGACACTCCAGTGACTGCCTTGTGCACAGAATTTGTGCTCAAATTCAGGTGTCACTCTGCACAGAGG